AAAATATTTATTTATATTTAAATTCACTTTCACATAGTGTAAATACATTTTAATTTTACACTAAAATTAAGTTACAGTTGTACTGAAAACTTAGAAGAAATAATGCTAATATCTTCAATAATCACTTAGGCAAAAACCAAAGAAATTTAGATAATATAAAAATAAAAATAAAAACAGATGAAGATAAACAAAAATGCTCATAACTATCCTCTACAAAATAAATGTCGCGCACAATAATTAGTATACCAATGCAATAATTCATTTATTGAGAATCCCGTAAACATAAAAATCTATATAACTTACACATGAGATCAAAAAGCGGTTCAATCAACAGTCAAACTTTATTTACTATAAATAAATACAGAAATCAAACATTGCTTTCAAAGTATTTATGACACTTAAAAGAATCCAATAAAACTCCGACAGTAAAATGGAAATTAATAAGAAAAGCTAGAATATGTAGGTCATTAAATGACCCATGACCTTTGTGCATACATGAGAAATTATATAATACTAAGTTTACAAAAAATAAAAAAAATTACTGAATCAGAGAAATGAAATAGCTGTTCTTTCCCATCAGTGTTAAAAATTTTCCTTAAATAATATTAAAAAAAAAAAAAATGGAAGCTGGTAATATACATACTTATATTTGATATGAACAAGATTCCTACCATGGCTGTCGACTACTCTTTACTGTGATTCCAACTTTCGCTATTAAACTCTGCCAGGTATTACTTTTTTCCATTATCGCGCGCCTCTTCCCGATACTGCAGTAAATTTGACGTAATAGCTGACAGTATAGAAAAGGCGCCTTCTCTTCATCAGTCAGCGAACATCTCTATCATCGGTGACTTTAATGATCACTCCAACACTTGGCTGAAACATTAGTAATGTTACCCGTATACAGACATTAAATTTTCCATTGCCCAATCCCTCAATCAAATCATAAACTTCCCTACTTGTTTGCCTAACCAAGCCTAGAAAGAGTTGTCTCTACTGGATCTATTTCTTACCTCCTCTCCTTGCTTTTGTCGAGCTTCGCAATACTACCCTCTTGGAACCTCGGACCACTCTGTGGCAGCTATTGATCTCATCTTCCAAGTATCCGTTAAACAGGAGCCATAAGATCCATAAGACCTGTTTCCGTTACGATCATGCTCATTAGGACACTCCGGCATTTTCTTCGTGATGCCGCTTGGACTGATATCTTCCCCTGGGTTAAAGCTAGATGAATTTGAGTGCAATACTAGACTAGATTTAATCATAACTTCTACGCTAACAGATTCTTTTTTCGCACCTCTCGCTTGTGGTACTCACTTCTGGGTCCATACTTACCAGCCAACTTTTGAATGCAACGCCAATCTATATGTACTGTCCTCTTGAATACTAATTTCTCTTTCTACTCATTACTAATGTTTCTGCTCTTAATTCTTCAGCATCCTGTAACCCTTTGCGTGTTAGTGATTTGGTTTATTTTACGGCATATCAACACCTCAATGGATTATTTAATGCTGACAACATTTTTGTTGCTGGTAATATATATATATATATATATATATATATATATATATATATATATATATCAAATATGTACTGCTAGTAATATATTTCCTTCAAAAATTTATTTCTGGTATTTTCTTCAAACAAGTATTGCTGGTAATTTTTGTTGTTTTTTCTGCCTAAAATGTTTTGCTCATAATATATTGCTGGTAATAATTTATTTTAACAAAGTATTTCTGGTATTAAGAATATTTTTTACACTTTCATAGTGTTTTGTCCCCAGTTCGGGGGTTAAATATTTGTCCATAGTTGAAACCCTAAAAGGTGCTACCACCCTGGGTCAGTGTCGACCAGGAAACACTAGCAATTAAGAGTTGATTCTATGCTCATCAAAACCTCCTGATCAGAGGCCGTAGTTTATCGTCTTACCCAGGAGGCTGATGTAGTTTATCGTCTTACCCAGGAAACCGGATGCAGTATTGTCTTACCCAGGACGCGGACGCGTTTGTGGGTTAACTATTTGCCCATAGCTAGGACCCTAACATGAACTAACACCTCAGGTTAAGGTGAAATTGAGAACACCAGCAATTAAGAGGTGTTTCCACGCTCCTCAAAACCTCCTGATCAGAGGCCATTCTGTTGGGCGTAGTTTATCGTCTTACCCAGAACGCTGATGTAGTTTATCGTCTTACCCAGGAAGCCGGATGTGGTTTGTCGTCTTAGCCAGGACGCAGACGGGTTAGTGTGTTAACTATTTGCCCATAGCTGAGACCCTAACAGGTGCTGCCACCCGGAGTGAGAGTGGGCCTGGGAAGACCAGCAATTAAGGGGTTTTTACACGCTCCTCAAAACCTCCTGATCAGAAGCCTTGTTGTTGGACATAGTTTATCGTCTTATCCAGGACGGGCGTGTTAGTGATTGTACTGACTTGCCTTGTGGTGACACTGATCAAAAACATACCATGGAGTGATATATTCGATCCTGAAAGATTTTCGATAATGATAACATTTTCACAAACTAAGAAAACTTTTAAATCTAATGACCTCGGTATCCTGAGTGGTGACGTAGGTACCTCCAAATCCACAAAGTGCACAATCGGGTCTCAAAAATGTCGGTGAGTGTAGCACCATAAACGAGGAAGTGAACACATCTGAAATTGGCATAAACCCAATAAACGAGCGGATAACCCGAATTCATATAAGCTCCAGATCAAACAACTTACGAGTATATACTAAATGATTTACTAAAATGTGTATGTTTATACCAGTTCGAGTGGGGGAAGGAGATATTGGTAGGAATAATAAAAACATACATTGTGGATTTGAACACTTATTGATAATCAGACCAAAGTACATGTGAACTTACATAATCTATACTGTGAATTATTGAAACAACATTATGTTGTTTCAATAAAATTGAAACAAAAAAGTTTTAATTAAAACAAATCTTCCCGAACATTTAATGGAGATGTTTTTATTATTCATATATTCTATTTTCTATTGGCCTCGGGTTACAGTTTTTTGTGAACTCAGATTCGGTTTCAGGGTAAATGATTCTTAATGAATCTTGCTCGAAAGTAGGTCGGTTTGATTTGGAATGTAGAAAGAGAGTGGAAGGAAGGAAGGAAGGAAGGAAGGAAGGAAGGAAGGAAGGAAGGTATAAGAAAAAGGGGACAAAATCAAAGAAAAGAGTAAACAGAAAGGGGAAGACGGGGAGACAAACAGAAAATCAAACTGTGAATTATGAACAGAAAAAAAAGAAGTGGAAGAGGAGGAAGAAGAAGAGCAACAACAGAAAACTGGAGAAATAAGGACGCGAACATACATACAGATATACATACATACATACATACATATATATATATATATATATATATATATATATATATATATATATATATATATGTAGATGCTTAATAAGGGTAGGTAATTTCGTAATATGATAAATTCTTATATGCCTGCTCGTGAAGAAAAGAAGGGGAAGGAGAAAGAGGAGAAAGAGAAAAGAGAGGAGGAGGAAAAGAAGAGGAGAAGGGAAAGAAGGAGAAGGAGAAGAAGAAAAAAGATGAAGAGGAGAGATAAATAGAAAATCACAAATGAACGAAAGCAAGAAGAAGATGAAGAAGAAAAAGAAGAAGAAGAAGAAGAAGAAAATGAGCGACTCAGATAACTTGAAAATGAATGAATAGAAGACCAAAAAAGGGAGAAAGAAACGAAATATGGCGATGAAAAGAAAAATGACAAGATATAAAAGAGCGAAGAAGCTAAAGAAGTAATAGGAATGAGAAGAAGAAGAAAATAAAGGAAGAACGAGAAATAAGCAAAGAATAATATTGAAAGAAAAAAAATGAAGAAAAAGACTAAAAACTGACAAAGAAAAGGAAAAATAACCGTGAAAAAGCCGAAAAAAATTCGAAGAGAGAATGGTACAAGAATAAGTCAATTGAATCTGAAAGAGGAAAAAGACAGAATAGAGTTCAAATCAAATAGGAATTGAATGTTAAAAATGACGGAAAATTAGGGAAATTAATAAAAATACATGAACTGTAAAAATTTCCAATCGCTTTTCCTCCATATCAAACCATCTACAAATAAATTGAAAAATGAAAAGTACAGACAATATGACCCTTTCTTCCTCTTTCTTCTTCCATTTTTAACATAGTTATGCAGCAAAGTGATGCAAATGTTACCCAACAGTCAAAGAGCTAGCTAGCTGTGACAATGTCGCTAGGAGAACAATTTAATGTGGATTGAAATGGTTTCCATACTTTAATTGTTAAGAGTTTATAGTTTAAACGGGCACCAGATGTATTCTCCCATTTAATATCGTTAATTTGTTTTCGCTGTTCTGTTTGTAAATAAAATAATTTTCACCAACGATTTCATTTTCTCCTAAGAAATATTACCACTTTTTAATACATACATATATATATATATATATATATATATATATAAATTCATGAATTATTCACACAAAAACGAATGCAAAGGTTAATGATTTAATTGGCGAGAAATCCATCGTCGCAAACAATTCAAATAATATACAAAAAACTCTCGAATCCGTTATGAATGAAATGATCCTTGCTTCTATAAATTTCTGCCGTATTAGTTCTTATTTTTACTACAAACTTTCGTCTGTTCCTACAGACATCTTCAGGTATAGAATAGATGTTGTTCTTGTTTTTTCTCTTAGTAATAAGAGGACAACGAAAATATATGTATTGTTGTATCCGAAAATGCTATTGGAAATGAGTTATTGTTTTGGGCGCGCAGTAGCAACGCTGAGTTTTGATTTAAAAATTTTAAAAGTTATGCGTTCATATACAAATATGGTGATAAAACGAATTTTTACTGATAAATTTTCTGTCAAAGTGGCATGAACTATATTGTTCAATAATTACAGTAATGTCTACTACGCGCGCTACTGCTATAAGCACGTTTATCGTAATATATATATATATATATATATATATATATATATATATATATTAAAAACAAATTCTTTTTTTGGTATTGAGAAGGGATCTGTGGTAAGTTTTATAGGTTTCTTTGTCGGCTAGCTGTTTGTTGGCCTCTTTAATGTATTCTTCGAGTCCCCAGATCACTGTCGCACCCCCTTGTCAGCCTGTGTTATGATTAGGTCATCTCTATGTGTCAGCGTATCAAGGGCTATATGTCTCCCTTCAGTAATATTGTTACGTGGCAGCTTACGTGCTATTGTTTTCTTTATGTCATTTGCTACGGCTAGTTCAAATTTCTGTATAGTAATGTCTGTGTTTTGTGGGGTGTAGGTAGGATCCTTCGCTTTTAATGTATCAAGTATGTAAGGTGTACGATCATTGTCCCCGTAGTGGGCTTTTAACCGTATTCTTCTGAAGAAGTATTTCAGGTCCTTTGCCAAGGTGTCTTTATCAAACCTTGGGGGACTAGGGCAAAAGCTTAGTCCTTTATGTAATACCCTGAATGTATTGAATGAAACTTCATTGTTACTTAAATTTATAACTTGCCCGTATGGGTCAAGTTTTAATTTGCAAGCATGGCGAAGTTCTTTCGTAAAAACTCAAAAGCTTGCATCATATCTCCTATTAGGGATGCTATACCCCATCCAGGTTATATATATATATATATATATATATATATATATATATATATATATAACAACATGCCTGGCCGCATACACAATTCCAGAAAATCCTCGTTGATAACACAACTATACTTAAACATGAAAACAATAAACAAAATTTAAAAATTCTTGAAGATATATACATAAAACAGTTGAAACATAGCCTGAACAAAATAAACTATGAAATCTCCACAAACATTATTAAATGTCTATAATTGATAACAGGAGCTATTGCTTTATACTAATGACTTCCCATACTTAATATTTCTCGTTTTCACTCTCGCGTGGTAATGTGTGACGTCATGAGTTGCGGTGCGATTTTCGTTTCCAGCGTCTCATATGCACGAGTTTGTCGTTGCTTGGAACTCTTCCATGTAAACATAAATATACTCTCATTATTGTTTTCTCCGTGTATTGTTTAATATATTGTAATGTAATTGTCATCATCGAAAATGTAAGCCGAAAGCTTAGATAGGATTAAAAAATATGTATCAATATTGTAATTTTCTTTCTTCTTTTAATAAATAGGCAAAACTTGTCTATATTATTTAATGAAACCTGCATATATATATATATATATATATATATATATATATATATATATATTCATTCAGTTTTTGATTAACCTTGGAATCTGATCAGATTCTTTTATCCTTTCAAAAGTTTTCTCCTCTGTCTACTAAGAATTTCACTCACGATTAGGATTTAATGTAATATTATCTGATATTCTTTACAATGTTACATTTTCTTTTAATGGCGATGTAACAGAGAACATATCCTCAAAGCCTTAGTCGACATGTCGGCTGAACTGATGGACTATTCACGTCACATTGGCACATGCTTCGTTTTTCATTTTTAAACTAATAAGGTTCGGAGCTCGATCAGAATTTTTTTTATAAAAATTTCCTCTTTTCTGCTCGAGCGATACACGCCGTAGATAAATGTCCAACGGACAATTAAGAAACATATAAAACAAAAGCTAAAATCTATAATGTATAAGTTTAGATAAAATCAGAAATTTTGTGTGGAGTTGATAATGAAATGGAAAATTCAACACATCTATAATTCTCCAACATGACCTTAGATGAGTGGATATATTGAATTTGCATAATTTAGCTAACTTTGATATTTTACATAGACAGAGCGAGAGAGAGAGAGAGAGAGAGAGAGAGCGAGAAAGTGAAAGAGAGAGAGAGAGATGAACAGATTGAGCTAGCTTGATACCTAGATAGACAGATATACAGATAGATGAAGAACAATTATATATATATATATATATATATATATATATATATATATATATATATATATGCATGTATATGTGTGCATGCATTTAAAATTTGTGTATTTAGGCAGCAATCTTTCTTTCATGCACATTTCATTGAATACGACAGACAAGGTGCTGTTATTTGTTTTTTTATACAATTCCTTATGCGATCTAATAATTTTTTTTCTTTTCGGATGATAACTTGCCATAAAAACTGTCCGAATGTTCTTTTTATTCGAGCGCTTTTCGTAACATACTTGTTGACAACACTAATATAATAGCATCATCTACATGCAAAAAGAAAAAGATTAAAAATAATGGAAGCCTTATCAATAAAAACAAAAAACAACAAAACTTTATAATATTAACTTCGAACATAGACACAATATCTTGACCGTGGTTTGAAAAAACATTTTATAAAAAATAAATACAACAATCTATTTCCTATTTAACAGTTAAAATAGTTAATCCTTGAAAATGGCTAAACGTATAGCCGAAAGCGCTCGGATAAAAAGAACATCCAGACAGTTTTTATATAGTTTATCATCCTAAAAGAAAAAAAATATTAGATTGCATTAGAAATTGTATAAAAAACTAAATAAAAAGCACGTTGTCTGTCATATTCAATGAAATGTGCATATATATATATATATATATATATATATATATATATATAGAGAGATAGATATAGTATAAAGACTGAAATAGACATAGATAGATGCATCAAAATAGATAGGTGAGATAGATATATATAGAGAGTATAAGATAAATATATATATATATATATATATATATATATATAGAGAGAGAGAGAGAGAGAGAGAGAGAGAGAGAGAGACAGACAGACAGGCAGACAGACAGAATAAAAAGAAATTTAGATAGATTATGTTTGATAAATAGATAGATAGATGAATAGATAGAAAGATTGATCCGAGAGAGAGAAGAGAGATTGATCTAGATAGATTGATATTTAATAAATGAACAGATTGATAAGCTGGCCATATAAATAGATATGAACACACATTGATAGAGTGATAAACAGACACATATATATATATATATATATATATATATATATATATATATATATATATATTCGTATATATATATATATATATATATATATATATATATATGTACAGAGAAGAGAAAAAGGTGGAAGATCATTAACCTTGATGGAGGGATATGAACAGACAGAGTTATTTGTCTAAATGAATATAAAACAGAAATGAGATAGATATGAAGAAAACAATTTTCCAGTTTGCCTGATTAATTGTACGCGTGAAACCCCAGGCCTATAAACTCATCTCCATCTCATATATATATATATATATATATATATATACGGTATATATATATGGGAGAGGGAGATGTTTCTCGACATATTTCTGCACTTTATATATATATATTATATATATATATATATATATATATATATATATATAATTTTTGAAAAAAACCTAAATAGAAAATTCTTTTCATTTCTTTTTTCATTTCAAAAATAATCACAACCTTTTCAGTTCAATATGATCAAATACGATGGACATAAAAATGAAAACGAATAAAAAAATTTTTTTAAATGATCATGCTAACATGGTCATTGTTGACGTATGTTAGACCTAAAAATTTGATCATTTAAAAAAAAGAAAATTTCAAATTTATCTGTTCTAAAATTCTTGTGTTTTGCTTGTCCATCATCAATATTTGTCATATTAAACTGAATTGTAATATTGATGAATATTGTCTTGAAAAGATTTTATTAAACCGGAATCTCACGTCAGACGTCGACATTTCTTTCATTTTTAGCGAGATTACATTTAAGAAATACCGATTTTGTTTGTTTTCAAAATTTCTTCATTCTGTGAAAGCGTCGTTTATATCCATTTACACTTGCTAAATATGTATATATATATATATATATATATATATATATATATATATATATATATATTTATTCTTCTTCTTATTATTATTATTTATTGATGATTTGCTTGTTTTTTCAAAATTTTATTATTATTATTATTATTATTATATATATATATATATATATATATATTATATTTTTATATATTATTATTATTATTATTATTATTATTTATTATTATTATACTAATTGAAATTGAAATACTGCATTGGAAGATCCTTGGATTTTATACACTTGTAAGCAGATCAAAACAAATTGGTACCTGAGGTAAAAACTGTTAAAAGAGAAAGAACTAGCAACTTCAGAACAGGGTGAAACAAATCGTCCAGTGCCTTAAGATTTTAGTACAAAGAAAAAAATCGAGGTAGTAGATATATATATATATATATATATATATATATATATATATATATATATATGGATAATTAGATAGATGGATCTAAGAGCCTAAGTGAAATAATTCTTAAAGCACATATGTGAAATTACATAAATATTGTCCATATTAACATTGAGTAAAAAGGGTTATTTTGCTGGTATAGTTATTTATTTGTCTATATAATTATTAGCCTAATCAATGGACCCTAATTAACATGGAATAATAATGTCAAGCTGCACAACTAAATTTACGCTGTGAAGATTTCCAGTCAGAATTCAGTTCATATATATATATATAAGCCAGGTTACAGAATTATTGATCCAATTTTATCGGAATTAGCCAGGTGCCACGAATTTAATGCCATATTAAGTGTGGGCTTAATAATAGCAAGTGAAATATTAATAATTAGAATTTTAAATATATTCACATTATTCATTGTCATGAAATTCAAATCTCATGAATAAATTTCTGTTCATTTTTGCAGAGACAAATTTATGTTAAATACATGCACGTCTTTCATTAACACATGTTTGAATGAAAAAGAAATTGTTTTCAATAATCATCCGATCAAACCAATCTGTCGAGTTTGTTCCCCAGGTTATGAAGAAAGAGAAATCCTCTTTATATTAACTCTGCTAGCAGGCAGTTTTTTTATTCTTCAATAATTAACCTTGGTATTTTGTACATTTTTTTTTTACAGAAACCGTCTGAAAATCTCAAGAGACTTGATCATTTTTGTTTCCTCCAATGAAGATGAAGTTGCCAATGATGAGGAATTCATGGCTTTCAGATTCAAAGATGCGGGTGCATGAAATAAAAAGGACGGTTAATTTTTTTTTAATTTTTATTTTAAAAAAAATACTTTTCAGTAATGAAACGATTTGTGAAAGTATGCTCGCAATTTAAATTAAGGACTGGTTAAAAAAAAATCTTGAATATTAATAAAAGGGGTGTTCGCATAATATCCCGGTGGAGTGTGTTCGAAAACAGTAAACCCAAGCTGGTCTGTATATATATATATATATATATATATATATATATATATATATATATATATATATATATATATATATATCGAATCCCATTACATTCACTTACGTGCTGATACCCTTTTGAAAAGCTGTGAATCCTCTTCTTCTCTCCCTAGCTATGGGTAAATAGCAGGACAGAGGGGGTTCTATAACCTTGGATGGCAATTGGTCTAGGAGAAGGACAATTCTGAATTCAAAACCTGCGGAGGGTCGTTTGGGGACCTTGTGGCACGTAGTGCACCAGGTCTCTGAATTCGGCCCTTCAAAAAAAGTGTGGATGGTCCTGCATGAAACCTTCACCACTACAATCAAATCTCATGTGCTGTCGGTTTCATGGGAATTGATCTGTTTGACCCTCATACGTGGAATTCGACGAGAGAGTCGACTATATATATATATATATATATATATATTATAAATTAGCTGATTGAAAATACGGTGTTTTCGCAACACTGTAGTAACTATGTTTCAAAAATAGAAGCTAAAAACATCAAATTTAATTATATAATTAAATTAAAAGCATTAATTCATTTTCATCTTCAAGCGAATATAATAATTTAAAAATTTACTGAGTTTTAAATACATATAAATTCATAATTTACTGTTTCCAAGGACACAGAAAATCCAATCATTCGAACAGGGACTGTGTATATATATATATATATATATATATATGCGTGTGTGTGTGTGTGTGTGTGTGTGTGTGTGTGTGTGTGTGTGTGTGTGTGTGTGTGTGTGTGTATATAGAAAATGGAAAGAACTCGTTAGGTAAATAATCAAAAGTTCTTTAGTATTTTAGTTATTTTTTTTTAAATAGTGCTCGATAAAAAGTAGGTAAATGTAATATTTATTTAAAAATATGATTCCAAATTTTTTACATAAGTCCATGTTTCAAAACAAGAGCCGAAAATAGGTAAATAGGTTTCTTGTTTTGAAACATAAAATATAACTTTATGTAAATGTTGAATCATATTTTAAATAAATAATATAATATATATATATATATATATATATATATATATATATATATATATAGGTAGATAGATAGATAGATAGATAGATAGATAGATAGAAGAGAAGACTTGGTAGATAAATATATATAAAAAAACTAAAGTATATATATAGATAGATTGATGTAGATATAGATGGATAGATAGATGTAATGATAAATATTGTTCTGTGGTGAAACATACCCATAAATCGACATAGTCACACATGAAAGTAGTATTTAGTACTCAGCTAGAGATGTTAGTTCAAGAGTAATATCTTTTCCCCTTAGACAATTACGGAGGAGTAAGTATCATGAATGGACTGACCCATTCAAGATATTATAGAGAGTAAATGTGTCTTATCACAGCAAACTGATAGATAGATGAGAACATAAAGATATATGAGAAAAGATATCGATAGATGAGAACATATATATATATATATATATATATATATATATATATATAATTTTTATGTTTGTACATTCTTTTTTTATAGACACAAATGTTTAAGTAAATGTTCTGTTTATCGTAAACAGTATAAGCAACATTTACCGGCCTGAATGTCCGAGAAATTTTCATAGAAAATATGCGTCCTCCGACAGGAATCGAACTTGTATCCTATACGGAACCGTCATATAGCCTAACGTGCTTTTACCGATTTCGCCACAGAGAAGCGTTTCAGTTAGAAAGGCCGATTTTACTGTTTTTAAAATACAATCTTCCCACGTACATTCATATCTGCTCAATGCGTATCCAAATGTAAACTAATGACGTCACACACTAGGAAATGGACAAAGTCCGACAATTATTTTAAGGCATTTAAAAAACAAAAAGAATATAAACATAAAAAATATCTTAAAGTATTTGTCGGACTTTGTACATTTATAATATATATATATATATATATATATATATATAGAGAGAGAGAGAGAGAGAGAGAGCGAGAGAAAGAGAGAGAAAGAGAGAAAAAACAAAGATGAGATAGAGACATACATACCTACATACATAAATAGATAAATATTAACAGACTGTTACTGCGAACAGTTTGCGGTAGAGAGTGAGAGAGATATACACATAGATGTGGACAACATAAATAGATGTGAAAAAAATAGATGTAAAAAACATAGATAGATAGATAGATATGAGTAGACTGAGATAGATAGATAGATAGATGAATGATAGATATTTTTATGAGCAGACTGAGATATAGATGAATGAATAGAATGAATAGATAGATAGATGAGAAGACTGAGATAGATAGATATGAAATTTGATAATTAAATAGCATGCACCAAGTCAATTATTACTGACGTAGAATTAAAATACATAAAAGATATATCGAAAATCGCTATATATATTTTTATATTTTTCTCCTGACCTAAAGTAATCGTAATTTAATAACTTTAACAAATAATGCATATTGACCACTGTATTTCCATAGTGAAATATGGTCAAAACTATTCCCCACTTAAAATCAGATACAATCTATAGTCAAATAAATTCCATGTGTTCTGTATTTATTTTGACTATTCCTAGACTTTCTTATAAATGCAATCATTAGACTCGGATAGATTTTACACGTGTCTTTATTAAATCCATTTTCATTACATCTTCCATACACTGTTTGCCTTCCTTTTATAACTTTTATAAGTTTACTATTCGTCCATGCTTCGAATATTTCTGTCGCGGTACTCCTGTTGTATATTTATAGATTCTTGAGAAAATCCGAAGAATCTGCAACATTAATAGTGTGACACTATTTAGGGTTGCGTGAAAAAAAGAAAAAAGAAGGCGAGAATTAAATTAGGTGATAAGAATCTATCAAGAAAAGACACTGAACAATGTTATTTTTTTCTAACAAGGAAAAGTGGTAAAGATTTTATTTTCATTAGCGAAGAAAGTAAGATACTGGATTTAATTTACGACGACGCACCGAATAAAAGACAGTCGCCTACCCATGGTGATAATGAAAATTTCAAATTGGCCAAGTGGCCTACGGGACAGAGTGCTAAGAGATAATATTAATTAAGCACGCACTGACCGAAAAACAAAATGAACGTTGGACCACCCAAGTTACAAAAAAAGAAAGATAGACCCATTAGCTATCTGCGGAGATATCGTTCGGAAAAGGCACCTGTTTTATGTCAAGAGCTGGCCATGATAGAAAAATTATTTTATCAGAACGAATAATTGGCACCATGGTGCGAAGCACCAGATGACCACCCACTTGATGCTGGCGGAAAAGTCTCGATTGATGAACTCCAGATGGAATTTGGTTAAGATAAGTGTCTAAGGATTTGTTGTCGGAAAGAAGAAAAGAAAGAAAAGAAAAAAAAAGAAGATATTTTTTTCTTTGAGCGATAATTAGCAAACACCTACGCCGCTGAGCGTTCATTGGCTGAAGGGTGACGTGAGTGGTAGGCGAAGGTAAGCCATGAAGAAGGAGGGGAGGCCTGTTGATGCCCCCTGAAGAGATCAGTGTGAGACGCCACTGTGAGAGAGAGGGGAAACCTGTTGAGGCCTCTGAAGGGATTGGGTGAGATACCCATATGAGAAAGGAAAAAATTGGGAGTACCATTCCTTTAAATCAGAAAGTAAAAGATTTCCAAAAATGGAAAGTTATGGGTTTTCCTGACCAAAAACAAAAAAAATTCTTAATGCGGATTTAGAATTATCAAGGAACCTCAAACCCCGACAAGCCCACCCCAGTTTGGGTCGGCATCCATATAAACTGAGTCGCAGCGAGTGGATGGCAGTTGAATTGAGTTGAGTTGGAGCTGAGTTGCGGTTTGCAGAGTGAGACCCGCCTCGCAGAAAGCTGACTTAAGATTCACGCATTCTCGACCTCAACTTCTAACCAAGAACAATTTATTTTTGAAGAACGTCTTAGACTCACACCACCAAAACAAGTTTTACGAATATCACCTGAAGGTACACCAAGAACCAGTTTCTTAAAGAAAAACCAACTTAAGATGTTAAGACTCGCCGAACAAACATAAAGTGTCACGAATCCATATAGCGGTTTGGGAGAAAGTCACTGTCCTGTATTTCGCAACCAGATATAAAATATTGTTATCCTTTTTAACACATTTGAACTTTTCGAGTTATTATTTTATTTTCTTTTACATATACTTGTGCGGCATTACACTTGTTCGGACTCGACTTGAATTACGGCCCGGCGACTGATTGATTTCGTCTACCTAAGATCAAATCACAACGTGGGTAGGTTAGACTAGAAATCAAAACAGTTACTTCAGTAACCAGACGTTGGAGGCGAGCTGGGAACGACAAGGCTGATATCAAATCTAACCAGATTCCTCTCCGAATCAGCAAAGGGTTAGAACGTCACATTTGGTCGTTACAGGACAGGATAGGACGGCGACGGCGCGGAGACAGACGTGGTGACGTCACAATTAGCGCCGCGCCTAGGACAGCACGGCAGGCGCGGTCAGGCAGACGTCATATTTGGCGCAGCGACCCCGGGGTGACGTAACATAGTCCTGATCTGGCATCCTCACTTCAATCACATTCACACTGCCGTAACGTGGCTTCCCTGTGTCTTTTCTATTAATAATTTCATGGTAACTCGGCGGATGAGATTTTCTCTAGGGTACCTTCACTTTATAAATTTAAGCGTGGTACTTGATTCGCAATAAGGTCTTATCAGTTTACAGTTGTATTGGATAGATTTAACCACAAGTTCTTTGCATTAGTTTTTTTTTTCTCATATATCTCCCCAATTGCACTCATTCGACTTCTTACTTATCTGACGTCTTTGATCTTCAACAATTTAAAAGCAATATCAATTCTTAACTACTCTTTTTATTGGCTCCTCATCTTTTTTTATTATTCTTTCACACTCACTATACCCTTGTGTATTTATTGCATAGCTTAGGGTGAAATAATAAAAAAAAATAATAATGAAACAATTTCTTTATTAATATACCGAATGTGACAGCAAAATTGTCCAAATCGTGTAACAGTATAATTATCCATCACCCAAAATATTTCTTTTTTCAGGTTTTTTAAATCTTGGATGTTTCTGCCATCTTCAAAGAGGACTGGATGAGAATCACTTTAAACCCCTTTCAGTTAACCAACTAGAAAAAGAATAGTTGAAAATTTGGTGTCAACCCCACTGTATCTTTCAAATGAGCAATAGAGAGAGGGAAAAAGATCATTCAGGCTGTCAGTCTGGCTTCCATCTTCAAAGTCCATTCAAGAACCACCAAGAGAATGGTGAATATGTTTTAAAAAAGAGAGAACAGTATTGAGGAATACTGGATCAGGAGGTCGCAACAGTGAGAGTGATCATAGTTTTAATTTATAGCTAAAGAGAGAAGTTAGAAAGGATCCTATTCAATCCACGGGACGTTTGGCACGTGAGAGAGGAGTTTTACCCATGACAGTTCAAAGAGCAGTGAAAAAAACTCAAAAATCAAAATCGTACTTGAAACCTGTGAGGCATCGTGATACTCCAGGACGGGAACTTAGAAGGTTAGAGAGGGGTAAGATCACCTTCAATAAGATGAAATGGTCCTCCAATAATAATATAATATATATATATATATATATATATATATATATATATGTCATGAGAACTTCCAAACCTTAGCTAACATTAATTAATGATAAAATATGTCATTTTCGTTCATGAACGAATTCATCACAATTCTTCTTTTAAGCTTGATAATTATGCATTCTTGTTGGTTAAGATAGAGCCCAATACTGTTATAAAACCGCTTTAAACACTTCTAAGATACAACAGTTCAAAGAAAAATCTAGCAAATTCACAATATTGCATTTACATGATTTGAACAATTTTGCTATTATACATGGTAATTTCCACTTTCTTTTAAATAAAATAATTCGAAACAATTTTCTATATAATCATTTATTAATGTTATAAGATAAAAAAATGTGTGAATAACAGCTATTTTTTTTTATTAATCTAACGCTTTATATCAAAATTTCCATTTCTTGTTTCCAAAAAATCAATATTGAATTCTAGGTAAAACAATTTTATTTTATCAAAATAAAGTGAAACTTTTAGATAACTATTGCCATTAAATTCTTCTCATGACTTTCTTCTGCGTTTTAAAAAATTCACCATTTTTACCCGACGGGTATGAAGAAACCTCTTGAGTAGACAAAGTACTCTTCGGAGTCGCTGTCTTGAAATATTTAGTGACTTTTTCTTCATTTATTTTTTAAAGGAAACTAATTCAAAAGAATGGTAATATAGACATGTGCGAATAATATTCTTGCAAGAAGCGGATCTTTTTTTTTTCCTTCACCAAACATAACTGTCAACGCTCCGTACACATTTGGCCTAATTGAATTAGAACATTTCGACTTTGCTTTTAACAACCTTTGATTTTTGCTAAGAAGAATTTGCCCGGGCGCAAAATAACTTTTTTGCAGATAAACAAGACAGTGTAAAAGTGAACATGGGTTGGGGAATGAGAATGAAAATGAAGGGGAAAACAGAAAAAAACAGTAGAAAGCTAAATAGAATCGTTAGAATTGGAGATATATAGTCGAGGCACAAGGGAAAACAGGTGGCACTATAAGGACTTCAACAGTACAAATATAAAAGAATCTAGTAATAAATACAAGAAAGAAATGACTAGACCCAAGCATATGTCTATATTTCTGAGATGGGCTATATAGACAGATACTGAAGGGCCGAAACGTTGTGATAAATTTGGCGACAAAGATGAGGAAATTAATCCGAATAATGTAAATAGTGCACATAATACCTCATCTCAGAAATATAGATAGATACTGAAGGGCCGAAACGTTGTAATAAATATGGCGACAAAGATGAGTAAAATAGTCCGAATAATGTAAATAGTGTACATAATACCTCATCTCAGAAATATAGACAGATACTGAAGGGCCTAAACGTTGTGATAATATGGCGACAAAGATGAGGTAAATAGTCCGAATAATGTAAATAGTGTACATAATACCTCATCTCAGAAATATAGACAGATACTGAAGGGCCGAAACGTTGTGATAATATGGCGACAAAGATGAGGTAAATAGTCCGAATAATGTAAATAGTGTACATAATACCTCATCTCAGAAATATAGACACATACTGAAGGGCCGAAACGTTGTAATAAATATGACAATAAAGATGACGAAATTAGTCCGAATAATGTAAATAGTGTACATAATACCTCATCTCAGAAATATAGATAGATACTAAAGGGGCGAAACGTTGTGATAAACATGGTGACAAAGATGAGGAAAATAGTCCGAATAATGTAAATAGTGTAC